CGCAACCTTGGAAATAAGGCAAATAAAGAAAACCCCCAACACCCAAATGCCATAGACTCAACCAACTAAATCAATACTGGAACAACATCTGGTCGTCTCAAGGAGAGCATCAAATAAATGCCGCATGGATAAACCAGGAGCGTGAAAAACATCAGAACGTAAGAATGGAAGACACAATAATTACCTTGCGCGACGTTGAAAGTGCAATAAAAAAATTACCTAATTGGAGAAGTCCAGGGCATGACGGAATTCACAACTTTTGGCTCAAGAAATTTTCCGCTACTTACAACCACCTAGCGAGAGAATTTACTGAAACTTTGATTGACCCCAATAAAATGCCCGTCTTTCTAACGGAGGGAATTACTCACCTTCTACCAAAAACAAAAAACCCAGATAATCCTTCCCAATATCGACCCATCACCTGCCTTCCATCAATTTATAGGATATTTTCAAGCTGCATTAGCAGTAAAATATATACCTACCTGGTCACCAATAACATCCTACATGAAGAGCAAAAAGGTTGCAAAAGCAGGGCAATGGGCTCTAAGGAACAGCTTGTAATGGACTCGGTGGTTTTGTAGCAAGCCAGACATAACAAAAGAAATCTCTTCATGGGCTATATTGACTATCAGAAAGCGTTCGACTCCATACCACACAGCTGGCTGTTGCAAGTTCTAGAAATCTGCAATGTTGACCCCAAAATCTGCCGATTCTTTAAAGAGATCATGCCTTCATGGACGACCTCCCTCAACCTCAGGTCTGCTCCCTTTGACATAACATCGCCAAAAATTTCAATTCGTAGAGGGATATTCCAAGGGGATTCTTTTAGCGCCCTTTGGTTTTGTCTAGCCTTAAATCCACTATCGCGGATAATCATGAAACAGGTTATGGATTCTCACTACGAACGAGAAACAGACGTCATCTCATTACACACCTACTATACATGGATGACTTGAAGATATATGCTGCAACAAAAAACCAACTTGAAAATCTTTTGCGTACCGTTCGTAAAATCAGCGCAGATATTGGAATGACCTTTGGTACGAGCAAATGTCAGACTGTTTCAATCATAAGAGGAAAACTATGCGAAACACCAGAATTGAATCTAGATGAGAAAACTATTATCTCCGCAATGTCGACTGAGCCGTATAAATATCTTGGAATGCTACAAACACACAAAATAGAACATGGAATTATTAAAAACCGCCTATCGACCGCCTTCCGACTGCGACTTACCTCCCTTCTAAAGACAGGTTTGAATTCTAAGAACCTCTTTAAAGCAATAAACACTTATGCCCTACCGGTTCTTACATATTCTTTTGGAATAGTCAAATGGACCCATACAGACTTGGAATCCCTAAATCGCCTGGTACGAACAACCTTAACCAAATTTAGAAATCACCACCCAAGAAGCGCTACGGAACGGGTAACCCTCCTCGAAATCTTGGAGGTAGAGGTTTACTGGATGTTGTTAATGTCTGTCAGGGAGCAAATAAAGAGCCTCAGAGAATACTTTTATACCAAGAACAGCAACCTTTACGTCACGGTGTCTTCAGCTGATGTCAAATACACCCCTTGAACCTCAGTAGTAAACAATATGATGCTTTTCCAACTCCTAATAAAATAGCTACTTGGGGAGCCAAGGAGTTACACGGACGGTACCCAAATGAGCTAGATCAACATCACATTGAAAAGGCGGCATCATTGCACTGGTTAACATCGGGTTATTCTACCCAGAAACGGAGGGATTCATAGTGGCTATGCAAGACCAAGTTATTCCAACACGCAACTACCGGAAACTCATCCTAAAGGAGAATATATCAGACAAATGCCGTAGATGTGATTCTGGAAGTGAAAACATAGAACACATTTTATCAGGGTGCAGTAATCTTGCGAGTACAAAGTATCTGGAAAGACACAACAGAGTCGCATCAATCATCTACTTGGAGATCCTCAAACAATTCAACATTGACCGAGAAATCCAAGAGCCCTACTACAAATATCATCCACCACCCGTAGTCGAAAATAATAGTTTTAAAATATACTGGGATAAAACAATCTTAACAAATAAAACCGTTAGAAGTAACAGACCGGACATCACTTATAAATAAAATTAAAAAAACAGTTTCACTAATTGATATTTCTATTCCTAACAACAACAATATACAAAGCAAGTTTACAGAAAAAAATAACAAAGTATCAAGATTTGAGAATAGAAATAAAAGATATATGGCAAATGGAATCGGTCCAGGTAGTCCCCTTGATTGTCTCAGCCATTGGAATTATCTCAATCAACCTGAAAGAACAATTAAAAAGTAATTGGAATACCTGAAAATACTTACCGCCTAATGCAGAAATCTGTGCTGCTTGATGCTGCTAACATTGTTCGTTCCTTTCTTAGGTGATTAACAATAGCACCTTATCTTGTCCCCATGGACCGATAAGGCAGCTTTAAACCTGTTCTGAGCAGAAACCTGCCGAAAAAAAAAAAAAAAAAAAAAGGACTTTATTCAGTAGAAAAGAAGAAATACATAAGTAATAAAAAAAAAAATCGATAACATTTTCCAACAATTGCCGTTCGACAGCAGGCGAAGTCTAGCAGAGATGCTATTCCACTTAACCTGCAGGTCGACAACAACTGTCAGATTTGGCAGGACACAATTACATAAAAATAATTCTTATTAAAACTAAAGCACTCTCTTAAATAATATAAAACATAACGACAGTTAGAGGGAAAAAAAAATTTAACGTTACACAATATGCCAGATTAAAAGCTGAAAAAAAAATGACACTCTTTGCCTAGTGGCTGACAAACCCCAACAATACAAACAAAAAAAAACGAATCACAGACAGGATCAGTGATTTTCACACAAAAAAAATTGTCTGACTTTAAATTTAAATTTATTAATATTAAATGCCCTGAAGTCAACCGGCAGACGGTTAAGTAATGTAATAGCATTATAGATGAAAGATCTTTTGAACAATGCTGTAGTGTAACGAGGCATTGTAAATTTATCCTTCTGTCTGATATTAACCGAGTGGACAGATGAGCGTGTGGAAAGCATATTCTTAAAACACAGGTTATTGTTGGAATTTAGGAGTTTATGAACAAAACTAGCTAAATGACATTGCCATCTGCACTCCATACGAAGCCAATGAGGTTGTTTAACCTTTTGAGAAGTATGGTGACGTTTTGTCAGTCCAAAAATTAAACGACAGCACGCATTTTGTACTTTTTGGATTCTTTTTTTATCCACTGAATCCAAACAAGGCGAGTATATGAAATCACAATAATTAAAGTGTGATAGGACTAGTGCCTGGGTTAACTGTTTCTTAAGAGTCATGTTCAATATATGCCTGTTAGAAAACAGCAATCTTAAATTCATAAAGGATCTTTGGACAAGCTTAGTAACATGAGATTTAAATCGTAATGAGGTATCTAGCTTAACTCCTAAATTATTTGCGCACTCTACAAAGTCCAATTTTTTGTTATTAATATTAATGCTTAGTTGCGATTTTAGTAATCCACGTTTATTATTACTACAAAAAAGCATTACTTGTGATTTATTTGGATTAAGGTTAAGGTTGTGTTCTTTCGCAAGCTGATTAAGACAACTTAATTCAGAATTAATTAAAGTATTCACCAATGCATAGTCCTTGGGTAAAAAACTATGGTATAATTGAGTATCGTCAGCATACGATTGCACTCCAACATTTCGAATGGACCTTAGAATGTCTGCAGTATACAAAATAAAAAACAGTGGCCCAAGCACAGACCCTTGTGGGACACCAGAGCGTATGTTAATTAAAGATGACTTCGAATCATTGTTGCAGATACACTGAGTGCGATCACTCAAGTAAGAATGCACCAAGGCCAAGGATACATTATCAAATCCGAAGTACTTAAGTTTAGAATATAATAATTGATGGTTTATTGTGTCAAAGGCCTTAGAGAAATCAAGTAAGACCAGAATACTAGCTAAGCCCTTATCATAATTTTCAAGTATGCTATTTGTTACAAGTGCCAAGGCATTCGCGGTTGAGAAACCCGATCTGAACCCACACTGACTTTCCGGAATCAATTTATTTTCTGATACAAATTCATTTATCTGATGATATAAAATCTTTTCAAATAGTGTTTAATTTCACTTTAGTGAAATGTATTAACTCTAAACTATCTATAATCTATAACTATCTCTAAAGATAAAGTAAATAATATTAATGCCATTTATGTTGGCAAAAAGTAGTAGCTATTAGAATTTATATCTCTAAAGAATTTATATCTCTAAAACCGTAAGACTTTTCTACCAAGGTATGTGAGCCTTATCGATTCTAAACTGTTGACATTTAATCACATCCAAAAAAATTTGCATCCACCCCAGAAAGACACTCTGTATAATGGGTATGTTTGTAATGGATACACCATGTATGCAGTAATTCTTTTTCTGTTTACAGGTTCTCGCAACAGATTCCGAAGATATTAATCATAATCACAAACTGAACTCTGGGTGAAAGTATACACCGAAAAGGATTAACCGAACAACAAGGTTGCAAACATCCCTACATTTAAATCAAAAGTACTTAAACGCAACTGAAACAAAAAACTATTTCATGGAACAGTATTACAAAAATAAGAATATAATTGAGAATACCAAACTTAGGGCAAAACTTAGGCTTGATCGTGTAGCCAATGTTTGGTGGAATCATTTGTCTATGTAATATGTATTTATCATTATTTGATTTAACAAATAAAATATTTTTATACCCGAAATAAAACCCAGTTTTGTTATTTAAAAATGTGTTTAATTAAAAAAATAAAAGTTGAATTTTTAAAAACTTTTTTATACAACTTGTTAAAGAAAGTTCTCCACAAAAGGAAATTTTTTTTATTATCAATTTCTCATAAAATATTGTTTTCTCTACAAAGTTTTAACAAAGTAAAATATTGGGTGGGATATACAACATGTGCAAGAAGTACAAAAATATGACTTTCAAAATTCAAATAACTCTAAAAATACATTTTTTGGAACAGCGCATTAAAAGAGTGCCAAAATACAAACATAAAAGCCCAATAATATAAATCATAATCAAAGAGGAAATCTTAATGTTAGAGATATAACAATATGTCTTGTACTTTTTTTGCGTGACAGAGAGGTGTCAAAAAAACTTGTGACAAAGATTAAATTATTTGAAAATTATTATTGAGTTTAAATTATTTTCTTCAACAAAAGTTTGTAAAAAAATTAAGCTGTATTGTTCGTGCCTTGGCACTCTTTAAATTTGCTATTAAAAAAAAGTTAAAGTTACTTGGATTTTGAAAGTCACATTTTTTAACTTTTTGCAGTGCCTGTATATTATACCTAGACTTTACTTTGCCAAATCTACTCTTTTATGCAAGAACTTAAAAAAAAACTCTTTTCATAAAGTACACAATAAAAAAATTCCAGAGCTTCCTGAAACACACTGTGTATAAATAATATGCTCTAGTGGAAATGATTTTCAATAATGGCCTGTCTCAGCTGCCTACCAGCTACTAAATCAGGATTTCTTGCCATGTTTTGAAAACCTGGATTATTTCCTTCAATAATGCCTAAATCTAGTTCCTCATCAATTTCTGGCGCGGGAATCCGATTTTCAGTACATATGTTATGTAGAACACAGCATGCCATTGTAATTTTTGCTGCTTTTGTTGATGTGTAGTGCAAAACGCGGTGCTTTAAAAGACATCGGAATCTATTTTTCAAGACACCATTGCATCTTTCAATAAAGCACCTAGCTCTTTTGAACTCATTATTAAATCTTTCTTCGGCTCCAGGAAGAGGATCTCTTAATGGAATTTGTAACCAAGGGCGCAGAGGATACCCTTAAAAGAAATTGTATATTAAATATTTTATTAAATACTTATTTACATGTTTATAAAAATTTTCATACCAGAGTCGCCCAATAAAAAAAAATATTTCTCGGATTACGCCTATAAATGTGTTCCATGAATCTGGAAACATTTCATTGTCCCCATATATAAGCATCATGGGTGCTTCCGGGAAACCTGGCATTGACATTCATTATTTTTAAATTTTCATCGCACACCTAAAAAGTATTACCAATAAAATCATTTTTTCAAAATATATTTATATTTATTTACCAGCTGCACGTTTAAGGAGTGATAGTTTTTACGATTGACATATATGTGTTCTTCTTCGGAAGGCATCACTATGGCAATATGGGTGCAGTCTATTACACCAATACCTGGTATTCCAGTAGCAATCTGCAAATCCATCTGCAAACAAAAACAATTAAGTTAAATCTTTTTATTTATAAGCAATAAAGTTTACCTTGCTCTCTGTTGAGTGAGTCCCTCTATATTGTGTGGAAATCTGATCCATCGACCCACAATAACTGGATGATTAAGAGCATTCGTTACTTCTTCTATACACCTGCTAACACTGCTTTGGCTGATACCACAGAAATAATTGCTCCCTGTTACAGATTGGTAAGTTCCTTGTCCATAAAACATTAAAGTCACCAACAACTACGAAAATTAAGCAATAATTAATTTTTTAAATAACAGCGTTTTATTAATATTTGTATTCAATCCTCTTTTATTTAAATGGTATTATCAATACTATTGTATAATAATAATGACTTTGTATAAAAACGTAAAATTGTATCACCTTCTTTGATAAATCCAAAGCTGTCCGTCTTCTATGAGGGGGTGCAATTATTTGTGTTAGTTCTCCCAGCAAATTTGTGTTTTTATCTAAACGAAAGTGTTGAATAAAGTGCTGTTCAGGCAATATAGCTAATGGGTTTTGCTGCCTAAAATTTAACCGAGTGACGTGTTCTTCAACCTGCTCTTCAGTATCTTCCAAATCATTGTTTAAAATATTCCAAACAATAATTTCTTTGTCTTCCATTTCACCAGTTGAATTTTATACTTCAATTTCGCGCCAATCTTTATAATATTATAAATATAAGTATAGATTAAACCCAATTAAACATTTTACAATATTATTTGTCGAAAATTATCGGGTTGTTTTTAGAGGTTATGTAATATGACCGCATAGTAACGCGCGTCATTCTCTCACATTCCTCGATTCTCTCGGTTTTACCCAGTAGAATACTCCTCGAGAGAACGGTGAACATTCTCTTACTTTCAAGAATGTCGAATTGTCATAATTCATGAGAATGACTTGCGCAAGACGTCACTTTTTTTAAGAGAGCCTTCGTATAGGAGCATTCTCTTAGCGTCAAGCATAGGGGCCCTGATGTCAGCGTTTTCAAGATTGGCAGAAACGCCCTGAAAATTCGAATCAAATAATCACAAAAATTAATTTCTGCAAAGTATTTGAAGATACACTGTAGACCACGCAAATAAAAAGTCATATTGTGAAAGGTTTTCGTAAATGCGGGTTATATCCTTTTCAGCCTAAGAGCGTAGATTACACAAAATGTGTTAAAAATTTCCTTGAAAAAAATTTTCACCAACAAACTGTTTCTGCAAACGCCGAACAAACATTAACTGTAAATGATTTCGATGTTGTAAAAAGAGTTATTGAGTCAATTTCCTGTGATTTAAAACTATATGGTATTAATGTAGACGTTGTAATAACTGAAATCGATTTCCAAAAAACACTTATTGTGGAAAAAGATTCCAATAAAAATAAATCTCCACCTCAACAACTATTTCAGCAGATCAGGCTGAAAATATTATAGTGGGAAGTATTATTCGTATGGACGATTTAACTTTGGTACCCGTTGATGAGATAGATAGTGAGGAGGCTATGATTTTTTAACATTGTGGATAATTCGATTGAAAATTATGAAATTGAGCTATTTAATGAATTTCAAAACTTACCTCTAAACAATGATATTGATACCGGGAATTAAAAGGTCACTACAAGCAGGGGGGTGACAGTGAAATAGGAAAATTGGAAACAGTCATTAGTGTCATTCCTGTCATCTCCTGACGACAAGTATGGCCGCCTAGACAAGGACAGCAATGTTTCTGTCTATCTATTGTCTAACTTCAGAGTTGAGAATTGACAGATTTGTTCTAGAACAAATCGAACAAATTTCGACACCATTTTATTTCTCTCCGTTTAGTTTTGTTTTGTAAATTCAATTTGATATTTCGGTTGAAATTTATAAATATAAAGGTAATAAAGCATAAAAAATATATATTACATGAAAAATCCTGGAGAAAAAGACGTTTCTGCAGTACTAGGTATGTATATTAAAAATAGGTAGTAAATAAAGACTATTTCTATATTTTTTAGATGCAAGAAAATTTTGTTATATGTTTATGATCGGTGACTTTTGTTTTAAAAATGGAAACAATTTACAGCAAGGTAAGATCATTTCTAACTATAGCCAACATTAGTTATCTCCAGTATGTCCGATTTATTGTCAATAAGTAATACAATAAATCTGACTGATACAATCTGATTGTTATCCGACTAAAAGTCTCTATTTGCTTCTTTTGGATTTATAAACAAGGTCTCTTTGGGAATAATGGACATTTTTTTTAAATAGTATATTTATATTTTATACCTATTGATAGTTTTACATTGTTAATTTTAGTATAAAAAGAATTGTTTTTCTGTTTGCATAAGGCTCCCGTTTTCATGTTCCTGCCCATGTTTATTGTAAGTCATGCTTATACCGTACTAATTTACGTTAAAACTGCATATAATTAAGTAATTGATATAGAAATCATTCAATTCTTTATTTTTTATATTTATTTGGTCACGTTGTCTCATATTTCAAATAAATATGCTTGAATAAATATTTATTTTGTTTTATTTATGATAAGAAAAAGTGAAGCCAGCATGTCAACCTGTCAATTGGAAAATTAGTTCTCGAGACGACAACGAAGGCTTTCAATTGTATTTTATTAGTTCTCTATCACAAGATCTCGATTTATAGTTTCAAATGCTCGGCGAAAGTCAATGAACACTATACCGACAAATTTCTTTTTCCCAATCACATTTTTCCAGCAGGAAATCACTGATTGTAGAGCACGTTCACAGGAATGTTTTTTTCTAAATCCAGTTTGAAATGGAGTAAGGATTTTATTGTCTTCCACAAATTTTCTCATTTGATCACTCACCACTGTTTCTAAAAGTTTTTGACATGTAGACACCATATTGATTGGACGAAACTCATCACACTTGTTGGTATTATTAACTTTTTCTATTGGTATTATCATTGACGTTTTCCATTCTTTGAGGAAGCAACCTTTTTCTAAACTGGTATTAATGACTTTTAAAAAGCGATGACCAATTACTCCAAATGGGCTCTTTAGGATCTTTGTATTTATTTTTTCAGTACTACTTTTTTTGTCTTTCATACCTCCGACAACACTCTTCAGCTCTGTAAATGTTTGTATTTGGAAACTTTCAAAATGGTTTATTGGACTCTCTATATTTTGTAATATCTCTTCAATGTCTTCTATTCTTCCTCCCACGTTTTTCACGAGGACATCTATACTCTATAAAGTAGTTATTAAATTTTTGTGCAATTATTGTATTGTCAGATTCCAAATTCCCAGCAAAATTAATACCTTTATTGTTTTTACTTTTATTTTTATTTGAAATAATACTTTTAAAATTTCTCCACATTTCCTTAGAACCCCCCTTACATTCATCAATCTTTTCATGATAGTATGCCTGCTTCCTATCTTTTATTATTTCAACAACGGTATTTATTTTTTGTTTAAATTTAGTCCGATCTTCTACATCTCCCGTTATTATTGTTCTTTTGTAAAATCTATCTCGTTCCGTGATTTCCATTTTTATTTCTGGAGTCCACCATTTTTTATTACCCCATTTATTGGTAGTTACTTTTTCCTTGAGTGGAGCATGTTTATTTAAATTCTCCATTATGCCCTCTACCAAAGAATTCGCCATTATGTCAATATTTCCATTACTATCCAGCCACGCCATATCCATAAGATCTAACTGGAATTCTAGCTCGTTAAAGTTCCTCATATCTCTATAAATTTCTTTATTTTGTCCAAGTTCTATAGAAGGAAGGTCCACAGTAAGTATTGAATGATCTGCTATTTTTGGTGTATGATGTATTTGATGGTTAACTTCTTTATCATTTGTTATTATAAGATCAATTATTGTAGCACTAGTTGGAGTAATTCTTGTAAAATTTTGTACAATTTGGGACAATCTACTTCTTTCTATTATATTGTTCAGTTTTTTTGAATAGTATGTTTCCTTTGCTAGATTTATGTTTAGGTCTCCAATTAAAATAAATGATTCCGATTTTACGGCATAATTATTTAGAACTTCCTCCAGTTTATCCAAAAAAGCACTATGACTTGAGTTTGGGGAGTGGTAAACATTTATGATATTAAATCTATGCCCTTCAACACTCAGACTGACTCCCACCAGCCGCAAATTTTTGTCAACCACTATATTTATCACGGTTTTAAAGCGCATCTCCTCCCTAATGTAAATTGAAGCACCTCCTGTATATCGGCTCGATGATAGTGCATGTGTTACATTGTACCCATCAATTTTGAATTCATTTTCAAGCATTTCCCCAGTTATACGAGTTTCTGTCAAGCAAATCATTATAGGCTTCCATTGATTTACCACCCACTCTAATTCTGTTTTGTGTGCAGTCAAACTTTCAATATTGAAATACATTAAATTGTGATTTTTTAATTGCTATTTATGATTGCCTAATATATCAGGGTAGTCAACTCTCATCTGTGGTTGTTGAAAAACTCTTTTGTAAGCTTCACAATTTCTGTTAAATGTAGTATGTTTAATATCAATGTGAGGAATTTTTAAAACTTCTTTTGCATATTTACAATTTACACATATTTCATTTTTACTTTTACATACCTCTATTTTGTGATGTTCACTACATTTAGGGCAAATTATTTCAATGTTTGTACAATCTCCCGACATGGCCAAATTTCCAGCATTTGTAGCACCGAATAACGTTAACATGATCAAAAAATCTGCGTTTTCTCCATCCAATGTGCACTCCTCTTTTAGATATCTCTTTATATGTGTTTAACTTTACTTCCAATATCACCGAGTGTGACCTGTTTCTTATGTCTTCATATATACTAATGACTTTCATACTTCTGTTTTCTTCATCTATCCTTAAACCATTTTGTAAAACAATATTCTCTATTAAAAAAAACAACGCTTTATTGTACAAAAAGCCAAAACAGCTTCATCGACAAAGCATTCACAAAACAAAAAAGCACAAAAACAAATAAACAAATAATAAAAAAATGTCATACAATACAAATCAATTCAAAAAAATTTACGTCATAAAATTACAAATAAAACATATATGGACATTGCAGAACACAGGCGTATCTAGAAAATTTTACAAAAGGAAAACTGTAAATGGATAAAATCATGTTATATATCATTAAATCAAGAGTTATAAAATATTAAATACTAGACCTTTAACCAGTGTGTGAGATGATCAAAATTTTAAAATTCAAAATTGTTCATGATTAAACAACAACAAAAAAGTCGTTTACCGCATATAGGGCTCCCTCCAGTAAGTATGATTTCAGAGCTTTGCGAAATGCGGGAAAGAATGAAAGTGAATGAATAAGGAAGGAGGAGTCAGTATTTTGAAATTTTTAAAGAAATTCTGGCGAGTCCTACTGTTTAGTCCCAATAACTATCGAACTGCTCTCTTTTGAAGTTTGAAAATACGATCAAATTTTGTCGCGCAGCAAGTACCCCAGAATGGAAGGGCATAACGAAGATGCGACTCAAAAAGAAAAATTAGTATGTCGTGGTCTTCTATCATCTTTTTTTCTAAGTTGATAATTTTTAATTTTGGGTTTGGTTTGGTTTGGTTTGGTTTGGTTTGGTTTTCTTCTCTGGAACTTAAATCATACTTATATTTCATTCTTTGTGTTATATTCTGCGATAAATTATTTATATCTTCTTTTTTTGTACAGCTTATTGCTACTACCCCATCTCGAATATACTTTACACTAGACACTTGTCTGTGTGATACAATATGTGTTACGCATATACGGATGCCTAAGAATAGAGATAAAAATTGGTGTCTAAATATTTCGACCAATAGGAATATGACCGCATAGTAACGCGCGTCATTCTCTCACATTCCTCGATTCTCTCGGTTTTACCCAGTAGAATACTCCTCGAGAGAACGATGAACATTCTCTTACTTTCAAGAATGTCGAATTGTCATAATTCATGAGAATGACTTTTCGCGCAACTTTTCATCCGTAAATATTTTACTTCAGCCCGTCAACGGACCCGTTCATACGATAACGGACGTTTTGGCACTTTTTTGACAAATTTAATCTAACCTTAATAAAAATATAAGTAAAATAGCAAAATCGTTATGGAAACGAAAATATAAAATAACACCAACGTATATCCGATAAACGGAGGCATGAAAATGCAATAAATTTAAAAACTGCGTTTCTAACCAATGAAAGTCTTTAAATTCTACCAATAAAATTAATATCGTATCAACGTATCGTCGGACAACGGATGCATGAAAATCAAGTTTTACTCCTTCAAATATGAAATGTCAATATCGTCATGATAATGTCAATAATGTCATGTCAAAGTCAAACTGGCATCTTTCCATAACGTTAAAAAAATCATTCCCCTTTTGCAATGAATCGATTCAACAAAAAATGTTACCGAATGAAAAATGACACTAATCGATTTTAGCTAGATCGAATTTTATCATCTTTACCACCCATCACTATTCTTTTCGACGGAAGCAATAGGCATGAAAAGTGACCCGGATAGGTTCGATGTGTCAAAAAAGGCATTCGAAAATGGATCGAGTAACCATTTTAGCACGGGTCGGGTAACCTATATATACAATATAATGGAACTACCCTACCCTTTCAGGTTACTTTTCGTAAACGCCTAATGTGTTCGGAATGGTTAGTT